CGTTGTTTGTTTTTCTCGTTGGTCACAACACAGGAGAAAAGTCAGATCGACTGTTTGTGAGGCTGAACAGCAGCCGTCCCTACCACATGCTTCCCATGTGAAGGTGACCCTCATTCTCAGCAGCCCAACCGACATACTCCATCCATCTTTCCTTTCCTTCTCTTACTTGTACCTTTCTCATTACAGCCTAACTGCAGTTCAGTATCAGTGAAGCGATTCCATTCTCAGACCATCAAGTAGGGAGGGTCAAGCTCGTCTCAAAAAAGCTCTACGATAAATGGATGTCCCCACTTATTTAATGGCTAGATCAGGAGTAAGGTGAGCCTAAATTGGCAGAATGGGGCCTATCAATCAGCTTGAAAGTTCGACTCAAAGCTGCTTTAAATGCCTTTCCCCACTACTTTTCAGAATAGGAGAGATTAGGGGTGAATTTCAGGGCTGAAGTAATGAATTAATGGGAGGTTTAACCAATGAAGCCATTCGATTTTATGGCATTCTTAATTCTGGTCTTTGGTCTGAAGGCGGAGTTGACTCAGATGTGCAGCGGTAGTTAGCGCCATCTTTCGTGTGGACGTCTCCTGGATCGGCTTCGAATCCAACTCGCCCATATATTCTCTTCTACTGAGCTCTTCAGTAATAGAATAGGAGGCCAGGATCTACTGAATCCACTGGATTACTGGCTTTGAAAAAACCTCTACCGTCATATAGGAATGACATCTAGGAATAAACAACGATGCTATGATGCTTGTAATTTTCATGGAATTCCCTTGTTGCTCCTTATTGTTGGCTGACACCTTCTCTTGCAGTTTCCTGGTCCATTTTTGGGAACGTCCCGGTACCCGTTTCCCATGAAAATTTGTCATCTTCCTCTGCAACAAATCGAGGCCTTCGAAAAACTCGATAATCGCTTTGTCCAGTGTTCAACCAAATGTACTGTGAACCCTCTGTCCGTCGATCTTATCGCTACTAAATGCGTTCCGATCGAGACCCATGACGTTTACCCAGTCACGGCCTGTACCTTCCAATCGTTCCCTCATCACCTAATGCAGTATTGTTTTACCGCCTTTCAATTAACATTAAGCTCCCTAATGCGAGCTGGGAGCTATGTACTGAATTCTCCGTCAGTTATAAGAAGCTTTTGATAAAAAAAANNAAAAAAAAGGAAAATTTGCGATAAAGTTAGAGAGGTTAGGGATAATTATTTGAAGTTATTCCTTAAGAATGAAGATTTATTTCGGATCGTTTGTGTGTGCGTGACAAATTACTCATAAAATTGGGGTGAGAAGCTGATCGGGCTGTGGATCGATGGAGAAGAACTGCCTGTTCCAGGGTATGCAGTTTTCCTGATTTCACTTTACAGTGAGGGTCGTGCATTTTCACAAAGATCCGACCCCATTTACCTTTCAGCCAACACGCACTGCAATGCTGTCAGACGTCCGATATCCAGGAGGATATCTTAGTGGAAATTTCCAAAGGGCCGCTTCCTTCATTTTCCATCGACATTTCAGAAGAACGTTTGGTGAGAGGAGCCTACTGGCGATCTAAGCTTCTTAGTCATGTACTTTGACCTGGGCACCGTCCCAAGGCATTTTCCAAGCTTGAGGAATCCAGAATTCCTTCTAGATGGGCCGGTGAGCAAATACAGCTCATTCCAACGACTTCCTTCTTTTTGCTCATATCGGATGTCACTCCGTTGCAGTGTCACCTGTCAGAGCTCCCAGGCAGTCATTGACACTTCCTCTTGAATTTTCCTCGAATGCAAAGCTCACGATCAGTCAGAGGGCACTTCCGTAGTGGCTGCAAACCCTACTTACATTTAGGCAGGCTATCTGGTAAACCAGTTGGGCTATTCACGCTAACGCCTTCACCATGCCATACCCACTACGCTTACTCACGACTTGTTAGAGGACCAATATAAACAGTATCGGTGGACTTCCCACTTCATAACTGCTTCCTCACCGCGCTCACGTGACTTTTCACACTTTTCTTCGTGCCTACGTGACTTTCGGGAGAACGCACAAACCGACCCACACACAGACACACAAAGTTACCGCTTCATATATAAAGAGATTCCACCTGTCAATGAGAATAATGCCTTTTGCCAAAATCCTTGGGCCATTCTGCTAGCGATTCCGTCTATTGCGTAGGAAGATAAGGCCACATGTTTTGATCACTAGAACTTTATTTTTCAGATTTTTATGCCTTTTTCCATTATAATTTAGTCTCTAATGGCAATGCGATAGATACTTTGTGTATTCGCGATCTCCTGACAGCTTCTTCTTATCCCTGTTAAGCTAGATCCGCTTTTCTGGCATGTTGACGCCTTTCTTCTCGATTAATGCGTGGTCGGGATGGAATCCGGCTAATTCAAAATCCTCTTGGAGCTTCGAGAGAATGCTATTTCG